TAGAACTAGTTTTGATATAACATGGTGTAATAACATCTTGGCGACGTAAACATCAGTTATAGAAATAGTTTGGATATACCATGGTGTAATAACATCTTGAGATGGAATGCAACGTCAGTTCTAAAACTAGTTTTGATATAACATGGTGTAATAACATCTTGGCAATGCTAACATCATTTTTAGAAATAGTTTTGATATAACATGGTGTAATAACATCTTGGCAATGCTAACATCAGTTCTAGAACTAGTTTTTATATACCATGGTGTAATAACATCTTGACAATGCTAACATCAGTTCTAGGACTAGTTTTGATATAACATGGTGTAATAACATCTTGGCAATGCTAACATCAGTTCTAGAACTAGATTGGATATAACATGGTGTAATAACATCTTGAGATGGAATGCAACGTCAGTTCTAGAACTAGTTTTGATATAACATGGTGTAATAACATCTTGAGATGGAATGCAACGTCAGTTCTAGAACTAGTTTTGATATAACATGGTGCAATAACATCTTGGCAATGCTAACATCATTTTTAGAAATAGTTTTGATATAACATGGTGTAATAACATCATGGCAATGCTAACATCAGTTCTAGAACTAGTTTTGATATAACATGCTGTAATAGCATCTTGAGGTGGAATGCCACGTCAGTTTCTAACTGCAGATGCATGCAAGATTTTGGTGCATGCACTTGTTACCGCTCGGCTGGATTATGGTAACGCCCTGCTCTACTCGGACGACAGAGCTCATCATTTAAACTTTGTTGTGTAATTGTAAGAGTACCATTGTGTAATAACATCTTGGCAATGCTAACATCAGTTCTAGAACTAGTTTTGATATAACATGGTGTAATAACATCTTGGCAATGCTAACATCATTTTAAGAAATAGTTTTGATATAACATGGTGTAATTACATCTTGGCAATGCTAACATCAGTTCTAGAACTAGTTTTGATATAACATGGTGCAATAACATCTTGGCAATGCTAGCATCAGTCCTAGAACTAGTTTTGATATAACATGGTGTAATAACATCTTGGCAATGCTAGCATCAGTTCTAGAACTAGTTTTGATATAACATGCTGTAATAGCATCTTGAGGTGGAATGCAACGTCAGTTTCTAACTGCAGATGCATGCAAGATTTTGGTGCATGCACTTGTTACCGCTCGGCTGGATTATGGTAACGCCCTGCTCTGCTCGGACGACAGAGCTCATCATTTAAACTTTGTTGTGTAATTGTAAGAGTTGTATGATACTCAGAGTTACTACCTAGTTATATTACAATTATTATACAGGTGTTGTGAAGCAGTCGACAACTCAAATAGCACCAGTCGTTACTAGCACTACAACACCAATTGGTAAGTTCACACTTCTCATTCATTTCATTACTCTTAACTGGCATTATCTTTTTCCGTAAGTATACGAAAAGACTAAACAGCGTATTCCAGCGGCTTGTCAACGGTTTTTTTACAAATTTAATTAAAGTACCTATAATCTATGAGAGACACTATCGCAAAGAAAGGCCAAACAGATTATGTATGTTGAGGACAGGAACCCTTAATTTCAAATACAGTAGCTTTTATATATCTATAATTCTTAGCGCTCTTTCCGCTAATTTCATTCTCGGTGATGATCGATAAATGTGAGACACTATCGCAAAAAAAGCAAAACTAAAAGTAGTGAACTTTTTTCAATATATTACACTATTACGTTTTCTATATTTGCCACTATGTTATATTGATGCTAAATGTCATATGAGGCTATTCCTATATTGATGCTAGTCATTATATAATATCATTGATGCTAACCGTGTAACATTTTTGATGTTTGTCATAGTACACGATTTAAAGAAATGATGACAGACATTAATAAACTATTATAGTAATAACGCTGATCATTATTTCATTCTATCTTCTTTGTCTATAAATATTGAAGTGGATATTCATAACAATGCTACTATAAGTAAACAAATTGTGCATTATACATATTTCCATTCGTTTAACACCCTACACATGTATGAAGTGACATCTTTGATTTCACAGACACATCCACCTCCCTGAATACTAACATGTCATTATGTACGTGTCATCCTGAACCATACACCTTCACTGTAGGAAGGGACTTCGCCAGCGTGATCAGGAGTCTTAGAATCAACAAAACAGCCCTGTCATCTTACAAGCGAAAGCGTATGAGTGTACATGATGATAGAACGTCGTGTATGGTGATGGGTTATGTTGCTGCTATCGTTATATTCGGAAGTATTTCCTATATAATCATTATGGACATCCCTATAATTTTGAGGAACGTTACACGCAAACGGGCGATGACATGTTATACCATATCCTATGTCATCAGAGGAACGCAAACAAAATGATAAAACTACCTCCATCGAACACGACACACACATCGGAAGGCGCAGTGGATAACACCTAGGCAAAACAAGTGGATTTTCTCCGAGTACTCCGGTTTGCTCTCACATAAAGATCCATGCTTGTTACCATACGGGCCAACAGGAATGACTGGTATTAGTTCAAATAGCTTGTTTCATTCTTTTTTTAATTAATAAAGTGTATATGTACAAGTTAGAGAAATGATATTGTTTTGTAACTGGAATTGTTTACAAGTACCCCGATAACCATTTGACTTATTATTTGCTGATTACAATAATGCTTGCACAAAAAGCTTTAAAAATATGGATTTAATAAAGCAATATTAAATGTATATAAACGTTGTCGGTAAATAAGGCAGTATGTCTGAACATAAGAACAGTGTTTCTAAAGGTCCTTGTTAGACCGAGTTGTAGTTTGAAGTGAGAAATTGCCATTGCCCTTTTCCATCACAATCCCTGAAAACATCATACATATTAAAATGCACATGTGTTGTAGTTGTTCCAGTAATATTCAAGAGATCGGAAAATGTTCATATCGTCAAAAAGTGGTAAAAGTTACGTTCTGTCAGAGATTGTTCATACATACAGTTGTTCGATCGCATAACGTTACGCGATGTGCGCGGTGTTTACACGGTGCGAGCACGATTTGTGCACGATGGAAAAGTATTACGATCCCTAAGTATCTTTATTGATATATATCAAGGGTTGACTAGTGAATAAGTACGATTTCGTTCTTAAACTCGTAGCTTTCTTTCTTTAAGTACATTTGTATGCTGCCATATTCAGTCACATTTCTATTATACCATATTTTACCATATCGTACTTATGTGTGCAGTTTATCGCACAACGTCCCGATTGTTTAATCGCTTAATTATGCACACTATATGTGCATGGTGTGCCCGCGCTTATTTGGTGCGTTGCACCATCACTCAACAGTTATTCTTTCATGAAACAAGGTCGGACCCCGTAATCAGATGGTGCTTTCAGGCGAGCCAAGACCAAGCTTTGCAAGGCCTCCATAAACCTTTGCATGTCCACCAGGATTTGTACCCGAAAATGTTACATTTAGAAACGAACTTACCGGTTGTTCCACATAAACGAACAGGCTCTAGTAGTACATGTATATCCTAGAACAGCTGATCAAAGCTTACAGTTTATTCTCAATATGTCACGTACTATGGTTTGTCTCTTTTATATCCCATTTCACAAGTAGACAGACGGACACCAGGTTACTTGCTATACAATCTCAAAACAGACTATTATGTAGTCAAATTTGTAAAATTACACAATTTGTATCAAATGATCTTAAATTCACTGATCAAATTAATGTTAAACATTAGTTACAAAACATGTATAACATCCTATACATCGGCTAGCATCTTGCACTATTGCATCATCTGGGTTTCATTTTCGAAAATACCTCTTAATGTTATAAAAGTTTAAACAGAAAGAAATTCAATTATTTCAAAAACAGACAACACACTTGCTCCTAGTAGCAGTCCCATTGATCCACCGATGTCGCCTGTACATAAAAGAGCGCAGATACATACAGCTATGTAAATACATATATAAAACTCATTCTTTACATATACGATGAACCTAATTTGAACTACGACTTCAGCCAAATTACTTGTTTACTCGGGCTGTTTTCTACAGTGCTTACTTAATTTTATCGTTGCTACACCTCCAAGATATAGGTAATGCAAAGTACAATGTCATTATACTGATATTATTTTGTATTGGTTAAATGCAAATTTAATTGACTAGCCGGTATCTTACACAATGCACATGGCTTGTGTTTAGTTCTATTGAATGTTGCTTTGTTTACTTGGTACATGTAGGTATATTGTAAACTAGGTGTACGTCTAAAGATGTTATATTTCTGAATAAAAAATAAATAAATAATATTTTTACTTCCATGGAGTAATTTGTAATTATGAGCAGAAGGTTTATGACTTATAAATAATTCCAAATTGTCGGTAATTTATGAAGTGAATACTTACAAAAAAAGGGGGAAAATACATATGTACGCGATGTCGTTGAATTTCCTCGTAACTCAGCTGCTTGAAGAACACATCCATTTGCAAGAAGCTATCTCTGAAAATTTATTGAGCAGACTAAACGACACCCATATCAGAATCATTTTAAACGTATAGCTGGTACATGTAATAATCTACTAAAGTTGGTAATGGTCACTATTCAATATGCAACAATGATGTTTTCAATTGAAATATTTCAAAATTAAAAACATTCATTCACAAAATCTGATTTTTTAATATCATTTCATAATATGAAACCAGATTTTGTGAATGAAATTGAAAAAAAAAGGTTTTTAAATTAATTAGATTAATAGGAAAAGCTGAATCAAATCTCACAAGTGAAATGAAAAAAGTAACTGACCTCATTAATTAACTCACTGTCAATAGGGGCGGCTTCTTTATAATACTTGGAATCATCAATTAGTTTTGTTAACGTAGTCATAAAGAAAAGTTAATTGATTACAATAAAAGTACGAAAATGGCATAGATGTTCAAGATATGTGAAATTGGTGATTATTTCTGTCTAAATATCCAAGAAGCCTGGAGTAAGTTGACATAGATTCAAATAGGAATGGTTCTGTCTAATCCTGATCATCCACGACCGTCTTCCATATTTCTAAAACCTTTTTCTCCGTGTGTTAAATCCAATCAATTTAAGCCACTTCATTATAATAATATACAACATTTATAAAGCACCCAATCTAATTTGTAAAAATTACTCTAAAGCGCTTTACAACATATAAATATAATAGTATATAATACGTCATTAATAGTGAGACGTTGAAAATAAGTCTTGAAGTTGTGTATACATTCCTTAATTCTGTCTAACGTCAAAAGTTCTGAAATGGAAATCTGTGTTTCATTTTGAAAAAGTATTAAATTGTTCATTTTCTTTTTAATGTTTGCCAAAGGAAGGAAAAACTTTATTTTGATTTTACGAAGCTCGGGCTGCATTGCATGTAACCGTTCGTTGATGTGCATTACCACTTCTGATTAATGATGCCACATAATATGGAAACTATGGAGGCGAGTTTGCAGTATTCCAAGTGGCCATTTAACTGTTTCAATATTAAACAAACTTCTTGCAAAAACAAATCTTCTCATGTGTGTTTGAAATCGTTCCTGTTGACGGACCAAATCATCGTTATCAACAATCCGGTAGCATGTGCTTCATTCGTCAGGTTAAGGAGAGTTTTCAGCACCATTCGCAGGTTATCAAATTTGGCAGACAGGCGTTTACAATGTACTTTTGAGTAATTATTATGAATGGGAGCATGCATCAACAAGTACTTTGGTGAAGCTGGTTTATTGAATTTTCGTCGGAGATTTCTGAAGGAATAATTGCAAATGGGTGACCCAGTGCCGTATGCCCGTTTTAGCGTTGTTTAGTTTACGAAGGCTCTTTGTATCGTACATGTATAATTGTATTCTATGACTTTTTTCAATATCGAACCATAGATAATTACATTTTGCGCGTAACGTTTACACAATAGAAGGATGTGTGTTTAGCTTCGTGTAGACGAGCGTAGTCCATGGAGAGTTGTTTTTCCTCCAAAATCGGACAGAGCTGTTCTGGCTTCAGAAGTGGTGGTCACGTCTTTTACATCCGTGTCCTTTGTCTTTACTATCGAGTTGCTTTTACTCCAGTTTTGAATCACATATCGCGCTTGACTGGTCTTTCTCATTTTGTATTTATAATCCTAGGTACGCGATATTCAATTCCCTGGTACGTATCTACAGACAGCAGGGGTTACATCCTCCTCGAGTCTCTCATACGTTATGAAGAAGTCGTCGGTCACTAGTCTGTCTTGTTCCAATTATCCTTCTGTTAAATTGAGATATATTGCATTGATTGATACCATTCAATCACATCAAAGCAGTTTCCTCCTACACACCGAAGTACATTGTATATATAATCGATGGAGAGAAAACAGAATGTCAATATGTCATCATTAGATACAGAAGATGAATTCAAAGGTTTGTAACACAGTCGATGCACTCTTTAGCTAAGGTTAAGTAAATGTCTTTACTGATTGGGAACGCGCACCTGCATGCTTTTCATATCCGTCAGCTGCATGAAATATCCAATATAGACATTCCTCATCTGAATCTTATCAGGAATATCAAGTTCACAACCCATTGATTGTGAAAATATACCATGATGAAAATTGCAAAACATTTCAAATAGCATTTGGAATCGAGGGAATAATTGAATCACTTTACTATTCAATGCTAATTTGATATGAATGTGTGTGACGGGTTTCTATACTCGTTTTCCCACTAGTACTGCCTTACACTAGACTATGGATTGTACGTGTATGTGTTGTCGCGCGTACAGGCAAATGCAGCCCGTGTTTAAACTGTATCGACTCTCATGCTAAAGCTGTTATTTCATTTGTTTTGTAATCCAAGTAAACATATACATGTATCTAAAACATCGGATGTAAAACGCTATTTTCTATCGATAGGGATGTCAGTTGGCATTTCAGGGCATGCGGAGTATTCCTCAAAATCTGCTAAAATTCCAAAATATCGCAGGGCGGGGAACCTAGTAGTTAGTGCTGAATGTCGATGGAGAAAGCCAAACGGAGATAACGTTTGTCTGCACCACACGGCCATTACCAGCAACTGAGAACTCGTCAGGTTATTTGAGGATCAAAACATTAAAAAGCAATGTCTATGGTGTCCTAATAATGTGGAGGAATACACCAAAAGGTGGGGAGGTGCTTATACAAGTATGTATAGCCATTAAATATTTACAACTTTGGCTACAACAGATGACCTGTTTTTAAAGAAGCTATTTATGTACACCGTACATGTACCAGAATAAACCCCAGTTTCTATATCACAGCGGACAAAGTGATTTGTAAAAGTTTCTAGGTAATCCGCCCCTGTATTAACACAAACAAATTAACATAAACCTTTTTATTAACAAGTGTGAACAGTCAAGTATCACAACATAAGACACAGAGACAAATAGTTATCAAGAATAACAAACATGTTCTACACAAAACAAGTCTTCCTGATGTATAATATTCTGATATATCCCCTCGGCCATCAAGAAACCAAAGG